AATTTGCTATTAACAAATCTGAGATTTCATGCTATGAATTCAAAAACATGGACCTAGGTGCCCATATTCAAGGATCTTGCGAGAACGAACACAAAACATGAATCTTAAGGCAAATTTTCGGATCAAACAAGACTTTTTCTTCAAAAACACATGAACACTATCTTCTCTTTCTAAAACCAACTTTAAACCAATATATAACATGCAAAACAGGTTCGATCGTGCAATGCAGCTAGAAAAACATAAGGAACAACAAAAGTAAATTAAGAATCTAACCTCAATACGCGAATCTAACGGTTTGATCTATAGGAATCAAGCTCAAAAGCCCACTCTCTCACTCTAAAACTTCTTCTTCTTCTTCTAGAGTTTCTCTTTCCTCACAAACAAAGACATATAGCAAATGATACATTTCTAGGTCTGCTGGCTGACTTCACACTCAGCTGGGACACGTGGCACTACCGGGTTAGTTCTCCTAAAAAAGGTGGCTGAGTGAAAAGACAAGACTATGACAAAGTGTGTTCAACAAGCAAGATGGCATGGGCACTCTGGCGGGTAATGATCTCGGCTAAGAACAAGACATCGGCAAGTAGGGGAATAATGATCTCGGCTAGAAAGGACAATACTTGACTAAACTGTGCCACACCTTGGTCTTGGTCACACCACTCCAGGACAAGATCACTTAGGTGCAAAGGTAACATCTCGGCCTAGATAATACACATCTCCGCCTTGGTGATGAACACCTCGGCCTAGATAATGACATCTCGGCCAATATGTCAGGGCGAAGGTGGAGGTCAAACAAAGTGGTTCCAAGGACGTTCTAGACTAAAGATGACCTCGGCTAAACTCACACCAAGCAAGGTACAAAACATGCGAGAAACACTTAAGCAAGACGAATCAAGGTTTACAAAGATGCAACATATCAAGACAAGATCATGTAATATATACAAGCATGACTAGGGTAGAGTGAGGCTTGTTACAATTTCATTGCTGCCATGGAGCAATTTTTTGCCTGCAGTTGGTCTCCTTTTATCTCTTTAATCCCATGCTCTGTTGGCAACCGAAATAGTTGATGCAGTGTTGAGGGAACAGCCCCCATTGCATGCAACCAAGGCCTTTCCAAGATGATGTTGTAAGGGGAGGGCGTGTCGATTACGGTGAACTCTGTTGTTACCTTCCTGGTGCCTGCTTGCACCTCCAAGCTGGTTGTTCATAGTGGCCATGTCGGCGTTCCATTGAACCCGACCATTGGGCTATTGGATTGCTCCGTATCGTTTGGGTGAAGGCCAAGCTCCTTGTTACATCGAACGTACATGATGTCGCAAGAGTAGTCTTGGTCAGTCAGGATGCGTTTTACTTGGCACTCCCCAACCTGGAGGGATACTACCAAGGCAGCATTATGCAGATGCTGTACCATCTCAAGGTCGGCTTCTGAAAAGGACACTACTGGTCCTTGGCGCTCCTCTGCCTAATGTCTCTTCTCCCCGACTTGGTAGACATGTTGCAGGTGCTTCACCTTCTAGGTCTCCCCCCTAATTTCGTTCTCGTTGACCTTCGAGTGAATTACATTGACTACCCGAGGTCCTTGTGGCTGCTATGTTGGGGGAGGCGGAGCTGCTGGTGCCTGAGGCAGTCTTGCCTGTTCTTCCCTTGTCCTGGCCTCATCGACCAGGTCTCTCAGATGGCCTTGCCTCACCAGTTCTTCCAAGTGCGTTTTCAGGGCTCTACAACCCTGAGTCGTGTGCCCATCTTCATTGTGGTAAGCACAATGTCTGCCAACGTTCCATCCCATAAACTCTCCTGGTGCCTTCACTGGTGTTCTTAAATAGGGTTGGCTCCGAATCCGGTCCAGAACTTTGGGAATCGGGATTCGAAACACAGTTGTTACTGCTTGTGTGGCCCTCAGTTCTGTTTCTTGTTTGCTTGATCCATTGTTACCTCGGCCTCGCTTCGGCGAGCCGTTTCCTTTCTCTTGTTTTATCTCCTTAGTCCCCGACGTGTCTTCTTTGGCTCTGGCATACTTCTCGATTCTAGCCATGAGCTCTTCCATACTTTTTGGCAATGTCTTTGCCAAAGACTTTCGTAGTGGACAGTTGTCTTTTAGGCCGTTCTTGAAGGATACGACCGCCACCTCTTGATTGCATTCGGGTATTCGGTTGAACACCTCATAGTATCTTTTTGCATAGGCCGTAAGGCCTTCATCCTTGCTGATCTTTAGAGCCATCAATGCGTCCACCCTTAATGGCTGCATCTTGTTTGTCACGAACTTGGCCACAAACATCTCGGCCAGGCCTTCCCAAGTCTTCACGCTTCCCTTCGGTAGTTTGTGGAACCAATCTGATGCAATCTCCCCGAAGGATGAAGGGAACACTTTGCAGAGCAACGACTCGTTCCCACTATACAATGCCATTGAGTTCAGATATAATCCAACATGGAAGTTGGGGCCTGACTTACCATCGTATATTTGAAACCTCGGCATACTAAATCTCTTCGGCACATCAAACATGTCTAATTCCACCGAGAATGGTGTCCTCGGCTTATCTGGGGAGATTACCTCGGCCTAGGCATTCTATTGCTTCCTTTTGAGGTAATCTCTTAAGTCCTCCTTTTTTCGCCTAAGAGCTCGGCTATCTCCTGCTTTCAGTCTTTTTGGTGCACTACTTTCAGCTTCGTGGTGAGTCCTTTTCGGCCCTTTTCTGTGCTTGCCCCTAAACATGCTGATGTCCTTTTGGGTCTGCCTTCTTTGTGCGATGCATCCTCCGTGATTCTTCTCTTCTTGACTCTCTTCGTTTGACTTCCCTAGAAGGTCCGTGAGAGTATCTTTCACTTCCGTTGTGCTGAGGGGCTACGGGGATTGTTTTCTGCCCTCCCTTTTGGGCATTGGCCGCTGGAATCGGCGTGTCCTGCAGCGGGAACAGTGGCTGCATGACGTTATTTTGCATCATGAAATTGATGACCGACTGCAGGTCTGCAAATTTGTTTGCCATCTCTTTTACCTCTTCGTCCCTCCGCAGGCACCTATCCTTCCAAACTTGGAGGTCGTCCTCGTTGTAGTATCTACTTCGATCTGGTTTCTTTGGTGCGTCACCAGTCTGGCCGACGTCTTTCACTCCGTGATTATGGTCACGAGTTTCTACGTTGCATTTGTCTCCTTTGATATCAAGGTCAATAGGTCTCCCACTTCCAGCAGGAGTGTCGTCCCCAATCTTTTCCTTCTGTCCGTTACTGGCCATCTATTCTCCTTTTTTTCCCACAGACGGCGCCAAATTGTGTGTGTGATTTTCCGATCACACTGCCCAACTCAGTATTCAGCTGGAGAGAGCTGGCAAAATAGATGACACCTGGCTGACCTGGAACAGAAAGAGAAGATTTCGGCGGTGGTTCGTCCACTTGGGGGCACTCCGACGATCAAGTCAGTATATCTCTCAAAGATAATCAATAGTGCTAAATTAACTATTCAGAACGTAAATTGCATACCTTAGACCCACGGGGGTGCCTCTCTTTTATAGCTAATTCAATCTTTGTCCCAACAAGAGCCTAGCTCTAATGGACTTAGGATTACTATTAATCTTGGACTCCCAGTAGGATTGGGATAAACTCCCTAAGAGTCTTATCCTTTCCCAATTGTAGTCTTCCCCCTTTCTAGGACTCTTGTGCCTTATCCGCTATCTCGGATTCCAATATCTTCGGAGGTAACCTCGGCCTTGCTGAGATAACCTCGGCGTCATGACCAGGACACGTGGCACCTCGGCTGACACGTCGGCGTCACCTTAGCCACGTGTTGGTACTCAGAAAATATATCCCCATATATATATATATGTATTATTTTATAAATAAAATAGCATCGTAGTGTAAAAGATATATACTTCATTCTTTTCTCATCTTTTATTCTCTGTTATTTTTCTAGAAAAAAATTTATTTATTCTATTAGAGATTGTTTATATAATATTTAAATTTTTTTATGTGTATATATATAATTTATATATCATATTGTACATATATGTGTATTTGTCTATATGGTAAAAAAATATTATTTATCTTTTAACCCCTGTAGTAAGAAAATCCTAATTTCATCTCTGTATGAGAGAGCGAGAGAGAGAGAGAGAGAGAGAATGTGCAAGGCATATTAGTGACTGTAAGAGTTAAGGGTAAAATCCGTTTAGTTTAATTTTATAATTATGATTTAAGCATGAAATTGTGATTTTAAGTGTGGAGTTGCGAGTTCAATTTTAAAAAAATAAAAATTTATTTGGTTATGAGTTTTGAAAATATTTTTGAGTTTTTGAATTTTGAATTTTGAAAAGAATTTTGAGTTTTGAAAAGAGTTTTAAGTTGTATTTTGAGTCTTGAAATTTTTTTTGTTATTTTTTTAAGTATTGGCCAAATAATTTGTTATGGTTTAGAAACATATGGCCATCCAATTTTTTTTTGAAATTAAAAAAAAATTAAATATTTTAAAAAATAAAATTATGATTTTAAAACATAAAATAAAAAAATATTTTTTAAAATTTTTCTTTAAATAATATTTTGAAAAGAGTTTGGTTATGAGTTTTGAAAAGAATTTTGAATTGTGTGTTTGGTTACACATTTGGAAAAGAATTTTGAATTTTTTTTATTAGAATTACAATTCCAAAAGTAAATCAAATTCAACCGAAATCATTACAAAAATTTGATAAAATACTTAATAATTTATTTGAAATCCCTATTATAACTGTTTATTGAGTAGTAGTCAGCATTAAGTTGTGAGCGAGAACTAGCATATGGGAGGCACCAAATTGTTATTGTTTTGTATTCTCCCAACCCTGCAACGGCTATATTCACCACCGTCCCCACCCAATGGTACATTTCTCTCACAAAATTGCAACGGTGACAAATGTTCCTCTTACATCTTTTTATCCTCCTCTCTCCTCATTGCGATTAAGCTCACATCCACTTTTTGCCTATCGCTCTCTGAAAAGTTTTGGTTACAGTTTCTCTCTCTCTCTCTCTCTCTCTCTCTCTCTCGAATGGACAGTGGGAGTGCACCAGCAACAGCTAAAGTTCAGCATTTAATGAAGGCTTCATCAGATGAACTGCTAAGGAAATTTGCGGAAGTGGGTTCGGGATCCACCGCGAAGAAAGAGCTTTCGCAGTTGGCAAAACGATGCCACCACCACCGAAAAAAAAACCACAGAGAAAATGACTTTGGTGATGATGAGCAGTACTGTGAGAACCCCTCCTCCTCCTCCTTCTCCTCCTCCTTAAGCCGCCGGGCCAGTTTGGTTGAGACGAAGTTGCTTCTTCCTACTGTGGCCGCATCCACTCAAATGTCGTCTACGCTGATTCGGCGGCTGGGGATTGGGATTGGGAGGTCATGGCTCAGGTCCAGGGATTTCAAGAACTTGTCCATTTTCGCCACAAATGACAAGGTTAGCAATTCTACATACATAATATCTCCTTTTTACGTGCTATATATTTACATATATACATATTAATTGTGCCAAATTTAGTTGTTTGAATTCTCAACGTATATTTGTAGAATTTGATTCTCTTCTTACTACAGCATCGCATATTCCATTTTTGTGTTCAATTTGGCTTCTAAATCAGACTATTTAATCTTGGATTAGAAAACTTAGGCTGTCATTGATTTAGTAGTACTGGAGGGCCAACATCAATCATTTTATTCTCCTATGTGTTGGAGGGCTAACAAGAATTTGAATCAAATGGAAATTGATTGGATGGGATTTTGGTGTGCTGAGAAGTTGATGCACAAATGCCTAGGAGGACTAGCTCCAACCTTCAAAATCACAATTGAAGAAATAATACCTATTGGGAGCAAATATCAATCATTTTATTCCTCTTTTGTGTCTGCTTAGCAAAATCATAAAAGAAATAATAATACATATTGGGAGCAACTAGAAGGAAAAATACATATGAAAGCAAGTCAAATCCAAACAAAGTATAAAAAAAAATCTTAGCCACAACATATCCCATTTTTTATAGGAAAACTTTTGACCTGAAGGATAGCTAAGGGACAAGCTTGAAAGAAAAAATCTTCCATTGTATGAAAATTGTGAGTTTTCGATCAACTTTGTTTCCATCTATTAAAACACTGAGACCTCAAGTGGAAGCAGACATCCAATCTCTAGGGATTTTCATGGCTCGAGCAGTGGCCAACGATTTTGCAAATTCTAAGTTGGTTTTAAATTGGATTTTGGATGGGATTGGTCTTCAAGTCATCTCATTTATAAATAATCGTTCCATCCCCAACTGTTTGTTAATTTTCAGCATTCATGCCTTTTAGTAGGGTCAATAAATAATGTATTTTTTTTTTCCTACAAATTGAAAGAAAGAATAAATAAAAAAACATAGATGATTTTTTTGGCATGTTTGGAATTGTTAAAATGGACCAGCAATTTCGTACGGAAGGAGAATTAAACTAGTTGTAACAAAAAAAATTTGTCAAATAAGAGAAGCATCCATATTCGCTTGCACTATCAATTGATTAATATGCGTTTTACATCACTTTAATACATTTCAAGTTTATTTTGGTGATTTCCTAGTCAGTGGTGGATCGCATTTAATTTGTGGTGAATTCACAGAGTATCATGGATGCTTGATACTCAACCAACCATTCAGGAACAAACATCACCAATTTCCAGTGGTATAACAAACATGGTAACAAGTTTTAGGATTCAACACCTAAGGCACATGAACTGGGTTAGGGTTGGGTTGTTTTTATTTTTCTTTTCCCTTACTAATGGTGAATTGGTTGGCTATAGGGTCCTGTGGTTTTTGTCCGTTTTGATTTTCAACAGGAAGAAGAAGGGAAAGAAAAAAAAAAAGAAAAAAGAATCCTTTTGTGTGTCTAATTGATTATTATATTGATTGCAAAATTGATTGGCATAAAGCAAATTCGTACTGGTTTAATTGAATAAAATGAACAATTCATTATCTCTATCATGTTATGTTACCAATCCTAAGCAAATTCTTTTCCATTTTGAGGGCTAAATCTCCTCTAGACCTTATTCAAGTGCCAAACAACATTTTAAGTGTGAAGCATTAGCACTTTATCTGAATCACTAGATCTTTAGCATTGTCAAATTAATTTTTTTTTTGAAATGTTACTGCAATAGTTGGTTGACCAAAATATGTGAAATAAAACCCTGTCTATAGATGAGGGCTTATTAGGGTGATATTTTAAGCCTGGCTGAGAAAGATTTATACAAGTCAACTAAAATTTGGGATATACGTAGATCATGGGATATACGTAGATTTTGTTCCCTAGGAATGGCACTGTATAGTTACCAAAAAGCATGACATTTTGCATTTCAACTGCAGGAAACTTTCACCAGAGTAAATGTTCCCATAGAGTGGCTGCTATGATTTTTTCCACGGCGAAGCATGGCTGGTATTAAGGGCGATACATGTTAGATTAGCACAATGTAAGAATGGAGTTAATAAAAAAGACTTCCTTTAGGGAAAACTGAACCTAGGTGTTGGTCAGCATGCAAACGGAAGGCTGTATACACTCACAAGACTTTAATCCTAATGTATAAAAATTGATAAGACCTAAAGCACATACCTAGTACATCAAGTGTTTTGGGAAGGGTGAGATTAGAAATTTGAGAGAAAATTCATTTTACTTTGTTGGTTAGGTAAAATTTATTTTACTTATAGTTAAAAAAGATTGAAATTTTGAAAGTACACATTTTTTTTTGATTTGTATCGTTATCGTTGTCATGATGATTGCACCAGCATGTGACTGTCATTACATTAGATAGCAGGATTGGCTGTGGTACGCCATCACTGCCGCCACTCCATCACCATCATGATTTCATCAACTATTGGAATAGTTTCTATTTACATCTTGAGATTCATTAAATTATTATGAACTGTAGCAGTTCAATGTCAACTTAATGTTTAACTGTGAACTGCCTCTATTTATTTCTTCATTTTATTGATTACTATTATTAGTTTTTTTTTTTTGATTTTTTCTTTTCACGTAGACATGGCGTAAAATAGTTGACAGGGCTTCAAAGGTCTTCTTGGAGATGCATTACAACCGGCACAAGCGCTTGATAAACGATATTGCTTAGACCATGCTATTTCACACTGTGGAAATTTTTATCTAACCTGGGGTGTTGGGAATGAAAGTTTGGCCCTTGTGTACTACTAGCGTCTAACTTATATTTACTTATTCTTGTATATGTATTTTATCACCACAGCAAAATAATTTTCGTATTTTGTGTCATATAAATTAAGTTTTGCCGTCAAAGTTGTCTTTTATGGAACTGTGTGATTTAAATTGGTCATCCAATTTTCCCATTATGATTTATAAAATCCAGTAAACATTTTGCTGTGGAAATTTTAACCTGACCTGGCATGTGGTGGAAGGAAAGCTTGGTCCTTGTGCGCTTCTAGCATCCAACTTATATTTACTATTCTTGTGTAGGTATTTTTATCACCACAACGAAACAATTGTTGTATTTTGTGTCATATAAATTAAGTTCTGCCCTCAAAGTTGTCTTTTATGGAGCTGTGTGTAACTTTAATTTGATTATCCACTTTTCCCATTCTGAATTATAAAATCTAGTAAACATTTTGTTGTTGGTAAGCAATATTGATCTTGTGACAACCATGTTAATCATTGGTTTTGAATGCTATTTAAGTGTTTTGTGTGAATTTGAATGCTTATTATGTGTTTAATATGATTTTTAGGTTCATATCTGTTAACCGTAGGAATATCTGTTGTGATTTCTATTATATTTTGAAATTGAAGGCCTTAATGACGTCAGAAGTTTGATTAAAATTTGATTCAGATTAAATTAACTAGATTAAATCAATTAAATTAAGCCTTGATGAATTAGTCTTAAGCTCTATTTCAAAAATTAAAAGGGAATTCAAATTCATCCGTTTATAATGGGTTAGAGTGAGAAGCTCTCGTATCTCTCTAGAAACTTGCGTTTCTGGGGCTTCAATTCCTCATTGAATACGATGATCGGAGTTAATGCTTTAACTACTTTTGAAATTCCTATTAGTGTATGTGTGAATGACTCTATTGTGGAAGGTCAAGGGTTGGTTAAGCCGAGTGGGGGGTTAGGGTTTCTTAGTAACAAGTTTGAAGTCCTGAGTACGGCAAACATGGATCTTTCGAAGGAGGCCTCCAAGGATCGTAGTTCTGAATTTGAGCAGTGTATTGATGTTTTAGGGTTGGGGAGAACCCTAAATCAGAAAGATCGGAGGGTTAAAGACAAGGATCTATCTGCTGAATTTCAGATAGTTGCAGATCGACTGGCGCGATTAAAGAATCCTACAATATCAAGTGTTTGTAAGGTTTCGTCTACCCCTGAAATTCCCTCCAATCCTCGTTGGTCGGAATCAATGGAGGATGCTAACCCATCATTTCAAAATCTACTTGATAGTATTGTGGTAACCCGTAATAGAAGTGATGCTAGGGCTCGTGGTGATACTGTGACCTTACCATCGGATCCTGCGATTAAGTTGGATAGAAGCACCCAAACCCATTACTCAGACCAACAAGTGCATCCAGTTGAGTTCTCGGATCATCTGCACCCAGAAATCAACAGTGACTTTGATGAGTTTCAAACTCATAGAGGAGGCTCCTCGCAAGTTAGAGAGGGAAGAGGTGGTGGCAGAGAACAGGGCAAGGAGCACAAGTCTTGGGCAGAGGTTGCGGCACCATCCACTCGCTCTACTGTTCCTCTAAGGTATGTTCCACCTATTCGAAATGAGGGGTATGTTAGTGTCGAGTTACCTCCTCGACCTAATCCTCTGGGAAAATGGGATTCATGCCTAGTAGGTTACTTTCTGGATAAGAGTGTTTCTTACAACTATATGAGGAATAGTGCTCTCAGCATGTGGAAAAACTAGGGTTTGAAAGAAATTTTAGCCAATGGGGAAGAATTCTGGTTCTTTATCTTTGATGATCCAGATTGTTGTAAATCGGGCCTTGAGGGTGGGCCATGGTATGTTGGGGGGTTCAATTTAATCTTAAAACAGTGGACCAGGATGATGAAACTCACTAGGGAGAAAGCTACAAAAATTCATGTGTGGGTTAGGCTATTCAATGTACCTTTGGAATATTGGGATAATGATGGTCTGAGTCGAACTGCAAGTGCTGTGGGAGTTCCTTTATTCATGGACCATCTCATTGAGGAGGGTTGTAGAGTGTCCTTTGCTAGAGTGTGCGTCGAAATTGAGGCCTCCTCCAGCTTACCAGCTATGTTCAATATCAGTTGTGGAGGAAAAACCATTATAGTTAGAGTGGAATATCAGGGTCTCCCAGCCAGGTGTGATCATTGCATAGCTTTTGGACATAACACATCTAAATGTGTTAAAACACAAGTTGAGCATTCGGTTAACCTCTAAAAAGAAACTGAAGATAATCCAGACCTTGGATTGAGCACAGTTAAAGCAAAGGCTAAGAGGAAGGTGGGGGATCCTGAACCTGTACTTGAACCTGTAGTGCAGAATGAGGAAGCAATGGTGCAATTGGAAGAAATTACAGAGAATCTAGAAGCTGGTCTGGACAATAGTAACAATATAGTTTTAACAAGCAGACCAGATGGGTTGAATGAGCCTAGTGGTAGTGATAAAATTGAGTCTAGCCGTGATGGGGAGATTGATGCACCCAACATAGCACAGCTGGAGGGATTTCAGAAGGAACTGGTGGAGCTAACCAAGCTTGCCCTTCCCCGTGACACTGAACTGATTACTAAAGTGGAAAATCTGGTGGCATCAACTCAAGCACAGAACACTCTAGCAAAGAAGCAGATCCAACAAAAATTAGCTGCAAAAGGTAGTTCCTCTGGCAAGGGTAAAAGCCAGAGGAAAAAACAAAGGTAATCTCCAAGTTCTTTAGTGGTTTTTAGGTTACTACTTTTTTGCATGTCCCTATGACTTTTAAAATTGCATCATGGAATGTTAGAGGTTTCAATGACTCCTCTACATAAGGAAGTTAAAAGATTTTTGTTAAATGAAGATGTTAAAGTCTTGGGCATTTTGGAGACCAAAATAAAAGCTGTGAATGAAAATGCCATCTTTTCTTCCTGCTTTAATAACTGGTCATTTTTGTCTAACTCTCAACCCACTAAAACTGGGCGTATTTGTGTGTGCTGGGATCCAGTTTTTTGTAAAGTTACTTTGATTGAATCCTCAGCTCAATTCATTTTTTGTGAGATCCTTGTTTTGGGTGATAACTTTGCTTTTAAAGCTTGTTTTGTGTATGCTGAGAATAAACATACTATCAGGAAAGAGTTTTTTGAGTACATGGTCAAAATCTCCCAGTCTCAGTCCAATTGCCCCCTAGTTTTCTTGGGGGACTTTAATGCCACTAGGTACCAATATGAAAAGTTTGGGGGCTCACCTTCTTGGTTTGCAGAGAAAGAGGAATTTAATTCACATATTATTCAATCTGATTTGGTGGACCTGTCCTATGGTGGCTGCCAATTTACCTAGGCTAACAAGAGAGTGAGTAGTGAGTATATTGCTACCAAAGTAGATAGGGTCCTGGTTAAGGAGGGGTGGCTTGACCTTTACCCTACCTCAACAACAAATTTCCTTACCTCATCCATCTCTGACCATTCACCTGCTGTGGTTACTGTGTCTGATGTTGTGGTTTCTTTTAAGAAACCTTTCAATTTTTTTGACTTCTGGTTGGATCATGAGGAGTTCCTCCCTGCTGTATCTCAGATTTGGAACCAATATATTAAGGGTGTTCCTATGTTCAGAGTTTGCCAAAAACTCCGACAACTGAAACCTGTGTTTAAATCTATGAACAAAAAGAACTTCAATGATATCTCCACTAGAGTTTTGGCCACCAGATCTGAGTTGAATTCTGTGCAATGGAAGTTGGATAAGGATCCTAGTAATCTTGACTTGCAGAGCCATGAAAGGACTCTCTACAAGCAGTATGTTGATCTTACTATTGTTGAGGAGAGTCTGGCTCACCAAAAATCTAGGGTTCAGCGGTTGAAATTGGGGGATAGTAACAGTAAATTTTTCTTTAAATCTATTAAGGGTAACATTAATAGGGGCAAAATTCTCAAAATTGAATTGCAGGATGGGCATTGTTCTAATAAGTCAGAGGATATTCAAAGTGCTTTTATAACATTCTACTCTGACTTATTTGGGACTCCTATTAATGACCACTATGGTGGTTTTGATAGGATCAATTCCCTTATTAAGTCTGAGGTTTCCACTGATCAAGCATTGCTTCTTGCTAGGCCTGTGACTGACTTGGAGATTAAGGATGTATTTTGGTCCCTTAAACCCAACAAGGCCCCTGGCCCTGATGGGTATCTGGTAGGTTTCTTCAAAAAATCTTGGTCCATTGTTGGGAAAGAGGTTACCCAAGCTATCAGAACCTTCTTTGAGTCTGGTAAACTTCTCTCTGAAGTTAATAGCACCATAATAGCCCTTATTCCTAAAGTTCCTAATCCTGTGAGGGTTGGGGATTATAGACCCATCTCCTGCTGTAACACTATTTATAAGTGTATAGCGAAGATCATTGCTAATAGGATCAAAGTGGTCCTTCCTGACCTCATTGATCCTGTGCAATCTACTTTTGTTCAAGGCAGGAGGATCTCTGATAATATTTTCTTGTCTCAAGAGCTTATGAGAGGGTATCATAAGAGTTCTCCCACTCCCAGGTGTGCAATGAAGGTGGACATTATGAAAGCTTATGATAGTGTGAGATGAGAGTTCATTATTGACATTCTTAAAGCTATGGATTTTCCTCCCATCATGATCTCTTGGATTAAGGCCTGTATTACTAGCCCTTCATTTTCTATTTGTATTAATGGGAGCCTTCATGGTTACTTCAAGTGTGCTAGAGGTCTTAGACAGGGAGATCCCATGTCTCCTTATTTGTTTGTCTTGGCTATGGAGATTCTTGCTAGAATTTTTGATGAGAAATCCAGCCATCCCCTCTTCAAGTTTCATTGGAGGTGTGAGAAAGCTAAGATTGTGAATCTCTGCTTTGCTGATGATCTTATGATCTTTAGTAAAGGGGATGTTCCTACTGTTAACTTAATAATGCAAGGTCTGGATGAGTTCTCTTCTTTGTCTGGTCTCA